CCAAAGGTGACCCGTAGATACTATATATGATATCTGCAAGCTTGGGAATCAGAACCTAGGCGCTCTGATCGTTGTCCCTAAGGACTTGTGCAGACCATGTGAAATAGTCTTGAATAAATTGTATATTGTGACAGAAACCAAGTGAAATCAGTCAAATAGGGAAAATACGAAACGAATCTCCGAGACCCGAGTCGAATCAGTAATTCCAGCACATCGAGATGGAAGAGGAGGACAAGGTAAACAAGCAAGTGTGATAACGCCCTACTAAAATCCCTCAAAAGAGTACACCTCTAAAGAGATAAAACAAAAATGGTCAAAGTTGTGATAGGGAGGTAGTGTGATAAGAGGATAGGGAGTAAGATGTTCCAAGTCAGAAAAATAAGTGATAACACAATCGTCCAGCAGAAATTTCATCAGCGAATTGACTTCACTTGTCTCTTTGACGGGCTGTAGCATGAGATTAGGAAGGGCAAGACGCCAATTACGTTGCCGGTGAAATGTCTGGGAATGCACAAGATGCGTCCAGCTAGGTCGCCATGACAACACGACCAAGTTGCGAAAGCGAGGTCAGACTACTTGTATAAAATGGAGTAGCCAGTTGAGTGTATAGACTGTCTAAAAGAGGAGAATTTTGGTGCAGGCCCATCAGTTTATGATGGTTAATTAATATAGATCCGCGAAGCATGCATATGACTAAGGTGGGGTTAACGAAGGAAACTGCTGGAGTGGCAGCTGTGTATGTAAACCGATTGTAAAGATTGCCATTAGATCTGGTTCATTAGACCGGTCACAAAGTTAAACCAGTATCTGAATAGAATCAGTCAAATAAGGGAACATTTGCCAAGCAGGAAATGACATTAAAACGAAAAACAAGAAAATGCTTAGAGCCTGTTAGACTAGAAAAAGGAGATTTATAAATTCCATGCAAGTGGTCCGAAAGACCTGTCACAGCGAAACTGGCCAGGAGATCGCATCATAACCATGGCTTTAAAATGCACAATATAAAATTGTAAAAAATATTTCAGTTTCATGCAAATTAGTAACTTCCTTGACCATATCGTCTCAAATACATAATAGGGTTAATATCAAGAGGCGCCGTCGCTTATAATATGGCCTAACAGGCAATAGTAGTTAAGCTATCCACGATCAAATGAGGATCGTTTCTGATAGTTCAAATATCAGTGGTGCCATAAACGACAATCGGCGTATCACGTAATCAATCTGATTTCTGAGTAGTGCAATTAAAAACTAATAACATAAATTCAGTAGTATATGAAACCCAGTTGTCCTCTAAAAAAGGCATTCATGACCTATAACATTCCAGCATATGTTATCTAAGGGATGAAATATTTATTTTTGTAAGTAAGTAGAATTTCAATGAAATATTTGCCTTATAATCTTCATTTTCATGTTTCGAATTACATGAGCGTGA